TTATTTAATAATATTAATAATATTTTGTAGAGGTCATCAAAGGTCAGCTTTGATGACCTCTAGAAATATTTCTTTATATCTTTAAAATGGTAAAGGCACAAACCTAAATTTTTGCTGCACAAACCAGCACAGACATTTGACACCAATTTTGTCTGATTTGAAGAAGGTGGGGGGGCCAACTTCACTCAGGTAAGTTATTCTCAGCTCCTACCTTTGGAGCTTTGTAAGGGACAGTTGGTATCAATCCACTCTTTATTTTAAGGTGTGTGGAGAAGCCTGCTTTTTCAGCACCAATGTTGTAAAAGCAATCCTCTTTGAATGTTCAGCACACAGATCTAAAACCTCTAAGATTTTCCTTGTAGATTTCAATGAAGGATGCAATCCTATCACAGAGTCTTTAGGGCCTCAGATTAAAGCAGTAAAAAAATACTTCTGCTTTATTGATGGAGCTGCTGTGCTTTTGCTGTAAGCAAAGATGGCACCTGCTAGAGGGCGGGCTCAGATGGGGTAGGGCTTTTGCCCCATATGATGTCATAAAGGGCATGGTTTTTAAAAAGAGCATTTTGAGCATACATTATTTAAGAGGTCCAACAAGACAGTGAGAGAGGTAAAAGTTTTTTTTTTATTATTATTTCTGAACCTAATACAAAGGCTACAGGACACATATGACTGTTATAAATATTATATTAAATATTGCATAATATGGGAACTTGAAACAAACAACTATTTTAAAGAAAACCTTTTGAGTTACTATAACAATTTATATCCCTTTGAGATCAATTAAGTGTTTTTATACATTTTATTTAAATAAATGTCATAAAAAAAGAGAGATTTAGTTAACAGATTGCCCTTCGATGGACTGGCGACCTGTCCAGGGAGTACCCTGTACCCTACTCGGGACAAGCGTGTCAGATAATAGATGGATGGATGGATAGTTAACAGATTTTTAATTTATTTAGATTCATCTCCGGACCGGACTTTTCCTTTAAACGGGAGGAGTCTGGTCAGTGATTAAGAGTGGGAAATGATGGGTGATATCCTTACCCAAGCCTAGTTTTGGGTCCTTCTTTAACGAAACACATATGACTTCCCTTTCTGAAGACGTCCCCAGTTTGGGCAGCATTTCTGCAGGAAGGATGATACGACACAAATAACCATAAGCAACGACAACTCTGAAGGAGGGAGGGGACACAAAAATGACTTATCTGCATAAAATACTTATAAGAGAAACTATGTGCTCCATATGAGGTGCATCATCTGTGCTAAGGTGAAGCTGAGCTGTAAGTGTGGAGATGTTGTGCCTTGGGCTGCAGGAGATCCAGAGTGGGCTTCTGATCCGCTCCTCTGAGAACAGGATGGAGAATGTAAACCAGTGCTGCTGCGCTGACTGCTGGAGCAGGGGCTGCTGAAGGAAAACCATAAGAAACACTCAGTACTGTTTTCCAAAGAAATGAAAAAGCAGATTTTATGGGTTTTGTTTCCTTTCTTGACTCTGATTTGCTCCACATCCATATTTTAACAAGCAGTCGATAAAAAGTATTCACACATTTAAAACATCCTCACATTTTGTCAGAAAGGCCTTTAATCAAAACATTGCCACTTCCATAGTGATTTTATGTAGAATATCACTACATTTTGCCTTTGATTTTGTTGTGTCCATGAATCAAAACACTTTAAAAATCATTTTTATTTACAGCTGCGAGTCTTTTAAAATATCTAAACTAGCTTCCAGATTTAGGGCCTGAAAAACCTTTTCTAATTTATAAGCAAAGGCTGAAATAGTTGTATTTCCATCCACGCCATGCAAAGTTTGAGATAACTTTTGGAATGTTGAAAAAAGAAAAAAAATGTGAATTATTTAGTTTTCATACATTTGTGCGAATTAAACAGGCTGCAAAATGTAATGTCATCAATGTTGACATCAATGTAAATACTTGGCTGTAATAAACAGGACGTAGAGTTAGCTAGCTAATGCTACCATAGATCAGTAATGGATTTGTTTCAATCTGGAAAAGTGTACTCCCTTACAATGTCAGCTGATATTAGCGATGCTACATGCCATCCAGATACATCAGACAGAATAATAAATATGATTCTAACACTCAGGATGCTGGTGTTCTGTCAGATTAGCATACCCTGCCAGACCAGCATATCCATAGTCAACACTAGTGTTGCACGTATGCCATTTTTTGGCCCCGATACCGCTCCGTGATACCTGGCTGTGGAGTATTGGCTGACACCGATAACATCTGTTTGAAATTGATGTGTGTGTATATATGAAGAACTGCATACTACTGTGATGTTAAATAATTGCCATCATGGCTTTGTCAAGCTGCTGCCTACCTTTGTGAAGCAGGAAAAAGACTAAAACAAAGTGAATCCAGTAGAACATTTTATTGCTTACCTGGAATGATAATAGTTGAATAAACTTTTAGTGCTGGATCAGGGCCCCGCACGATGCTGGTATCAGTATTGGTGCAACAATAGTCAATACCAGTTTATCCCTTTAGTTTTATTGAAAAAAAAAAAAAAACACTTTAAACTACTTCAACGTGCATGTATCCCTTTAGTCATGTACAAATAAACAATTGAATTACTTACTTCTTGGTGTTTTTTAAGCGTATGGCGATCTGACCTTAAATTTTTAATTTTTTTTTTGTAAATGACTAAAGGGACACATGCCTGGTGAGGTTGTTTAATGTCTATTTTTCCTACAAAACTAAAGGGATAAACTCAAATCTGATGTCTTGCACGTGCGAATTGACTATAGATAGCTGGTCTTTACACGATACACTGATCTGACAGAACACCAGCAGAGGAAATGCCTGATCATTCGGGTTTGCCATGTCAGAACTTATTGAAGAAATGGGTTTCCATATCCTCTTTAGTGCATTTACTCTTTCAAAAAGTCAGTAATTGTCTCAAGATATCTGAATTTTGTTGTTTCCATCAAGCTCTTTTAATGCAATAAATCAAAATGCAGATAAAAGAAGAAAAAAAATGTTTTTTTTGGACACGTCTTTGGTCTGGATTTCACGTTTCCTTTATCTTATGATTCTGGCCTATTTGTCTGCTACACACCTCATCGCCTGGCTTCATATACTGCTTTCAGGCTGGCAACAGTGCCAGATTATCGAAAGCCAATTTCCAGTGTTCTTTTCTTGCCTGCCTGTTCTTGACCCTTTTTTGGATATTATCTCAGACTATGGACATCCACCTTGTTTCTGACACTTGCTACAGTAAGTTCTGGATCTGTCTGTCTCAATCTGCCTCCCCATATTCAACCTCGATTTTGCAACCTGACAACCAATTCAAGCATGACCCTCGAATTATGTCACTTATATCTGCTTTCATGGCTTTGACTAAGTTTCTTTGTCCTGTTGACAGATTTTTGCCGGCCTCCTGGAGGTTTATCCTTGTGTTTTCCGTCTGTGGATCTCCTGAATAAAACATCCTGTCAGTTCCAGAGTGAAGTTGCTGTGGAGCCAAAATGTAATATCCCCACACTCTCTCAGATTCTGAGAGGGTTTGTTGTTTAATTTTTTAACCTAACATTGTCCACAAGTTCCTGTCCAGCTGCTAGCCCTGTCTCATTATTCAGAGGTTCCTGATCCTGCTGCTGGTGACTTCCTACCGTTCTACAATCACAGTTTCAATAAATCTTTAAATGTCAATCGGTTGTTTAAGGATGAACTTTTAAATCCTCACTGCACCCTGTTACAACTCAAGGATCATTTTCCCATCAACTCTGACCCCTGGGCTCTTTCCCTACTGAAAAAACGTTTTTCCACAAAGCATTTTGCAAGAAGGGAAATCATTTATGGAGCAGGTTTTGTTCCAATATTCCTGCAAGGAAAGACAACCTTTTCTTAAATGAACATTTAAAAAAATTTAACCCAGAGATGAAACTTGATTCATTTTTTTTAGAAGTGAAGACAATGGCTGTTTCTCAATTAATAAAAACTCAATTATTGACTTGCTTTCTGGTGACATCACCACAAGCTCGGCTCATCTAGAGCTGCATTTCATCTCCTGTTATTGATAGTCTCTAGATAATAATAAATTCTGACTTTTTTAATTTAGTCAACTTTTTTTAAATTATCACTAAATCAGTTAATGAGCCATATAGTGATGCTTAAAAGTATAATGTTGTGGTCTCAAATTAATTTAATACTCTGAGCTCTGTGAGCGCTAGCCTGGAAGCTGCTGCTGCCGCAGTGCATGCTGGGACAGCTGTCAGTCTGGAGAACAGACAAGTCTGCTCTGATGCATGCTGGGTAAAGAGGGAGGGACCAGAACAACATCCAGGGAGGGAACTTTGTCCGTTCTCGGTATTCTTGTTCTTGTGAATTTGAACAGTACTAGGACTGAGGCTGATGACGTTTCACAAGGACACGAGAAAGCACAAGTACACAGATTGAGAAACGGCCAATGCGATCTGGAAAAGGCTTTTCAAAAAGAATTTAATTAATAAAACCTAATCTAAAAAAATTTAATTTGAGAAAAAGCCTAAAATAATAAATATATGGAAATTAACCTTTTTTTTAAGAAATCATAATGAAAATTGAAAAAAAAACTTAAAAGTGAACAAGAAAACAACAAAGTTACTCTCAAAACTTTTTTATTAAAATGTTTTTCAAAGTTTCATTTCTTTTGTTTATTTTAATTTACAAAACGCATTGTTTTTGTTTTGTTTTTCTTCCATTTGCAAACGTGTGCTTTGCTTGCAGCAACATGGAACAAAATTCTCTCTGTAAACAGAACAGAACATTTTCTCTCTCATCTCTCTTTTCACTTGATCCTGCTGTCTTTCCTTATTAATGTTGGCTTTTTGAAATAAAACCCTGATACCTTCACTAACCAGTCGTATTCATACTGTTACTAGGTTGCAAAGGATTTGTATTGAAGGGTATCAAGCTAAAAGGGGCATTATGACAAAATCACTCCAAACTTGTCTGATTGTTACAAACCAGACATGTATTATTTTGGTTTATGACGATGAAACACATTGAGCACTGTCATCTACCAATTTTGCTGCATCCAAATAGTGCTTAACATGTTCCTCTGAACATTGAGTTAAGATTATCGTGCCTCTTAAAGGGAATAAATTACCTTTGCTGCTTCACACGGGCCTCTATTCTGGCGGCGACGTCATTGCACAGTTTGGTGACAGACTCCTCCTGTGGCGTGGTCAGGCCGCTGTCATCCTGCGGCGTCTCAGAACAGGAGAAATGGCTGCTCTGAGCACGGCCTACAGCTGCATACTGCACCATGTTGTCCTCTGTACAAAAAGGTAGAAAGCAGGTTTTCTTCTCTACGGCATTCCGATGCCCCAGAGCCGCATGCAGCTCTTTAATGCCCCCCTTGCGTTATATTTAGCGACTTTTCAGACCCCTCTAGCACTTTTATTTTAAAAAAACCAAAATCTAGCTACTTTTTTCTGCTACTGGAGACTTTGGAGACAACATCTAAAAGCAGCGAACTCTGCTCTCCAGAGCGAGCAGATTGGTAACCCCGCCTCCTGCTCTCCTCTATCTTGTCTGCTGTCATGATTCATGCAGCTATTATTTCATCCAAATGAAAAATGGAGAACAGAGAAGCAGATCATGGCTTGTCTACAGTGAAAAGAAGGACTGGGTTATTTACTTTGGCCTTTTTGGAAACACAGGAAGGAGCAATCAGCTAAGTGAGCTTAGTGCTTGGAAAAAATCTTTCATTCCTTTAGAGACAGCATGAAAAGTCAGCTGAGTACAAAACATAGAGAGGAAAACAAGAAGAAAAGGGACAAGAAGAGAGGGACACAACCTAGAACAGATAATGGATGTCTATTCTATCAACATTTCTCTATCTGTAGAATGGGTCTGTTTTATGTGTTAGTTTCTCAGTTCAGAGGGCCGCCCGCCTGTCTTTGCATAAGGCACCAAATTTCCTAAATCTGTCCCTGTGGGTTGCCGACCCCAGATCTGTGTTGTACAAGAGTGCAGCCACAGCTATGGGCTTGGGGTGGGAGGGGGATAAAGTCCCTTAGCTGAATGTGAACCTGTTGGTTAAACTGCAGCAGCTTACCTGAGACCAGGCTGTGGCTGAGCGTGCGGGAGCTCATCTCATTGTTAAACTTGTGCTGCGCTGAGCAGAGGTTGCACAAGTATTTGCCTATCCTAGACCTCTCCGTGATGAAGGTGTATTTCTTCCGGCTGCCACGGCACTCTATTATAAATTTCCTTTTCTGCGGATCCATAAAAAAAGCAGCTTTAAGAACATGAACACACACACGGGGAGAATAACATGAGGGACTCTCTCACGTTAGAGGAGATGGTAGCAGTCTCCCTCCAGTAGAAACTCTGAGCGGTGGACCTGCAGCCATCTTTAACCTCATAAACCATGACACCTTTGGCACAAACCCCAAGAACGATCTCCCCGTCCGGCTTCTTCTCCCGTATCACGCGGTGGAAGAAGACTCCGTATTCAGGCAGCTGCTGACAAACCTGCAGATTTTCAGAGAACAGGTCAGGGAGGCATGGTGGTGGGGGGGCGGCGTGGCCAGTTTCCAGCTTCACCCACCTTTAGAAACTCAAGCTCAGATTCATCTGCAATCATCTGGGCATTAGTGGCATGAAGCTTGAGCAGCTCAGCCTGAATGTACGGCAAGGCACGTTTCTCCATCACGCTTTTGGAGACATACTGATCCGGTCGGTAGTAGTTTCTACCGAACACCTAGGCACAGCAGAGGATAGGCTTTAACTACACCATACATCATCAATTTATGCATACTGCACCACCGTAGGACATTTTTATGATGAAAAGGTATTTTAATAGAGAATCATTAGAGGATAGTGTTGGAAAAATGTGAATGTCATCATTTTATTTGTACGAAGTTACAGCCATTTGCCCTGCTAGGAATGTTGTGCTGTTTTAACTTCAAACAGGGAGAGTAAATGCTTCTGCAGGTGACTGATCATCACCCGCATTAAAACTGCACAAGGAACTATCATGCTTTATCATATGTAAACCCATCCTGACAACTTCTGACCCATCCTGTTACTCCTTTGAATGCTGATAATAAAGGCAGGGGACAGAGAGGTCCCAGCAGGGTTGAACACAGACATTCAGGGAGTAAAACTTCAAAGAGATGTGAGCCCGGTTAGTAAGTGCTGCCTTCTGTTATGCTACGTTCAGACCGCACGCTGCAGAAGCAGCAGAAGCAGCTGGTTTACATGCAATTGTTGACGCATATCAAGGCGCAGCGAGAGGTCCTGCAGCACGTTTTGAGCAGCTGAGGCACTTCAGAAGCAGCAGACGGAAATATGCGCCACATCAACCCATCAGAGAAGCTGATCTGGGAGCAGGCAGGGAGACAGACACAG